TTCTTGTTTCAAGAAGGTCTTGCCTCTTTCATGCACAGTAGATTTTTTCCACAGTAAAGTTTATGTGCATGAAACAAGGTTTTATACTTAGTGCAATACCTGAGACACTCACTAAATTAATCACAACTAGAGATTACAGAATTTATCTTTAAAATTGAGGAAATTTCATGATGAGCCTGGAGCTTCACTGAGAATGAAGACAGCAGGATCAAATACTCAGTTCAGGAAATACCAAAGCCACAGTTATCCATTTAACTTTAAATTTCTGTCTTTGTACACTGTTGATATATGTTACCAATTCAAACCATGAACAAACTCTTCAAAGTAGTAGAAGCTTTATCACATGGTCCAATTCAAACTTCACATCATATGAGAAATAATGTAATACAATATTAATGTTCTAAACTTCTTTCTACACCATCTAATGTGCACCTTGTAACATTTGCAAAGAATAAAAGATGCTCCTGAATATGTAAACGTTCATTTTACCTTTGTAGTTCAAACTGCCAAGTTTTTAACAATCCTAAATGTTAAGCATGAATAAACTTGCAGAAATACATCTTTCACGAAATTGCCAAACAAACAGAGAAACTCTTACTTTTATCTAGGAGATAAAATCCCTGGGGAAAAGCTTCATGAGAAGCATGACAGCATTATGGAGCTAAGAGAGTGCAGATGTCTTGCCTGCATTTCTTAAGAGACCAGGCTGTGGTCTGTGCTTGCACTGTGATTAGTGACCTCTCCTGTGTCCACACATCTGTTTGGTCAACTATCCTAATCTTTGGTTTTACAAAACAGAGAAATTGCATCTTCAACTAAACTAGCAGGGCTTTTGAGTTTCTCGAGATTCCAAAGTAGCAAATTTTCACTTCCCAACAGAAACAAAATCTTAAAGGAACTGATGTCATCAACTGCTGTTACCTATATCCCTTAAGAAAACAGAATCACCTAAAAACACGTTGCATACAAGAAAGTGACAGTTAAAGGTCAAAAAAAGGACAAAGCTCAATTAACTCACTGTTCCAGAAAGTTCAGACAGGCTTCCAGGAGTGACCAACTATAAAAATGAAAAATTCCTAACTGAAATGAAGGAGGGAGCCTATACTATCACAGGAGTATCAATTCCTACTGTCAAACCTTTGACTTACTTCTAAAATAAGTATCAGCAAAACTTTTTAGCCTTTACTCATCAGAGACAGTATCGATTTCCCTCAGTAAGTTTGCAGATGACACCAAGAAAAAAATGATTCTATGATTCT